CACTTGAGGCAGCTAAGGCAAGTATCCAAGGAGAGACTGTCTGCCTGGGAAGCTGGACTCCAACCAACACTTGGCAGAGAAGACAGTGGAAAAAGAAAGATGTGTGTGCGCTCTCTCTCTCTCTCTCTCTCTCTCTCTCTCTTTCTCTCTCCACCCTATATCTCTTTCTTTATCTCCTCACATATAGATAGATAGATAAATAGATAGATATAGATATAGATATAGATTAGATATAGATTAGATATAGATGCTATGGAGAAACGGGTATGGAGTAGTTATTACTGCCTGGGATGATGAACAATCAGTCTGGCCCCAGGTAACACAAGACACTCCCACTTCCACCATTGCCTGGCCTCCTTTAGGATCAAGTGAGACAAAGTGTAGCAATGAGGAAAGACAAACCTGCCACATTCACACCCAATCAACGATGTGCCAAGTGTCCACAAGTGCTCCAACAGCACTTGCTGTACCATGAACATGATTGTCTCGCAGGCTTCAGTGTCATGGGAGCCTTTGCAGTTTGAATTCAATCCCCACCTTCTTAGAGGTCTTATCCGAATGGCAGCAACCACACCTCCCCTTGATACATCCCTCTCCCAGTCAGAAATGAGCCTTTTGTTTGCCATTTGTCTCTACCATGAGAATATGTGAAATGGGAGAATGAGAGCCTGCACTGTCTGTCATTTCCACCTGACACAGAGTTGGGGCAGGGTCACTTCTTATACAAAGCATAGATGAGTGTGTAAACACTTGTCCAATCAATGGATGAGCACACACATGAGCAAACACCAGCACTCAAACCACATCACACTAGGAGACACCACTGGAGATGACCATCCAAAGGGCCCTTCTGCCTGAGCAGCAGTGGTCCCTGGAGGAAGGAGGACACCTCTAAGTCACACAGAAGATATATTCAGTCACCCTGCCTGTCCATGCTCCTCAGCGTACATTTCCAATTCTGAGTGTTGCTTGCTGAGATCTGCCACCCTCTAGACCAGTGATTCTCAACCTTCCTAATGCTTAAACTTTTTATACAGTTCCTCATGTAGTGGTGACCCTCCCAACTATAAAATTACTTGCCTTGCTACTTCATAACTGTAATTTTACTACTGTTATGAATTGTAATGTAAATATCTGTGTTTTTCTGATCATCTTAGGAGACCCCTGTAAAAGGTTCATTCGGCGCCCAAGTTGAGAATCACTACTCTAGATAGACTCTTGGAGCAGGCTCAGTCCCATGAGAATAACCTGGACATTTAGGATAACAGACAACTCCCCCCCACACACACACACACCTTCTGCATGCACTGGAGAGTGAGTACCCTGCTGCTCCATTCTTGCACTGGGGAGCAACCATGCTCTGCCATGCTCTGCCAACTCCTGAGGCCCCAGTAGTGTGAGTTCTAGTCTTCCTTAGTGATAACCACACCCAGGTCCACCCTCTATGGTCACCATCTCTTCCTGCCACACTAAACCTCTCCTCCTTCAGTGTTTGCCAGGACCACCCAGATGCCAGGTAAGCAAATAACACTGGGAGCCTCATCTGCCCAGACCAAGTCAAGCTTTCCCCACAAGACACCTCAGTGAAGTTGCAGAGCTGGCCAGAGCCTGATCTCAGACCCTAAACTCCCTCCTCAGGCTGGGCATTATTTTGCCATCACAGGGTACTTACTTCAAGATTTTCAAACTTGAATTTCTCTTCAGTCCTTCTGTGAGAAAGTACACCCCTTCATCACAGACATGGTTTTCCTCCAGGCTGCCAATAACAGAAAGGAGATCAAGTCATCCTGGTGACATTGACTGTGGGGGAGGATGTCAGGAAGGGTTAACCTACACCCCCGCCCCATTTAGAGAATCCCAATACTCAGCAAGAATAATAATAGACAAGAGGGGTGAGGAGCCTCAATTCCAGGGACAGCTTTGCAAGGGAACTCACTCTACAGTGTCACTATACAAAAATCCCCATCATGCGAAGCTATGAATACCCTTGTCTCTTTCTTTCCTAGATTAACAAGAAACTTTATTTTGGTGTGAGAAGCTATGTACTTTGTGAAGAAAAGGCAAGTGACACACACAGAGCCAGGGATACACAGGGAAAGTTGACAGATGGGAGCTTCCAGGAATGCTACTGAAAGGGAGGTGCTCTGCCTGCCGTTTGCCCTGTACGATATAGAGACTGAATCCTGGAATACAAAAGTAGTTGTTGTAGATGGAGCAGGTACCTTGATCATGAGATGAAGACATATACCAAGAATGGTGGGGCAGAAAAAGATAGACAGGTGAGGCACCGGCTAGCCTTCTGTAAATGCCATTTCAGCTCTAAACTGCCTACCTCTACACTTCCCAGACACGAGAAAATAAACCTTTGCTGGCTCAAGCCTTGCAGATGGAGGCTTTCTTTCTATCATGTGGTAGAATTAACTTACACTAAATTTGGCCTGAGTTTGCCTCCTTACAGCAAACCGCAACTTAATTTAGTATGCAAACGAAGTGCAGCCTAGCAAGAATATGTTCTTGCAGCAAATAGCTTGGTTTCAGATTATCATAACGGCCACGCTTCAGCAGGTCACAGGCTGGGGACTCAATACACCACATCCAAATGAGGCAAGTGGAGAGTGGTTGCCATTAAGTTGTTTCTGTACATTACTTCCTTTTCCTGTCTGTAAATACTACTGTCCTCATTGCTGGGTGGAGCTTCCTAACCCCTCCATGTTCTAAGTGCCAATCTGTTCATCAATCAGTCTTTGCTTATATTTGCTTATATAAACTCTGCTAAATCTACTTTAGCTAAAGTTCCTTTAAGTCCTGCTATCTAATACCCATGTTTCTTTCTTTCCTACATGAATAAGAAACCTTGTTTTGTTGTGGGGAGCTATGTGCTGGGAACAAACAAATATACAGCATTTCCTACTCTCTGCTATTGCCAGGGTTAGACAAGCAACCAATCATAATCACAAGCAATACTTCACAATGAGGTGCTTCTCTACCAAGAAGTGATGAAGGTAATGCCCAATCAATATATAATCAACGCTTCACCCTCAGATTCCAAGCCCTTTCTGTTATGCAACGGTTTCCTCCCAGATTGATATATATCATCCTGCAGGGAAGCTCCTTAAGCAGGAAGGTAAAAAAAACTCAGGAAGTTCCTAAAACTGACAGGATTCTCTAGGCTCCTCCCTGCCAGAGACAGCACTAAAAGCTGAAAGTCCCACTCAAAGGGGCAAAGCCCAGCTGCAAAGAAGGCTCAGACAAGTGAAGCTACAAAGATGATTCTGAGACCAGACCCGTTGCCTGGAAGACACAGAAACTAGCTGAGCTGCCTAAAGGCATTTAGACAAACTGAGTCACTTGGAAAGGACACTCTTCAACCTGTTGAGCTGTCTACAGGCTGTGCAGTATGTTCCAGGTTCCCAGATTTGCAAGCTGTCACCCATGCTGGGGTGGGCTTTGGTGATGCAGCTGCCTTTGAGTCATTTTACATTTATATTACATCTGCTCCTGCAAGTAACCCCTCATCAATATTCCTGTAAGTAACCCTAGTAAAATTCAGGTTCACTAAGTTAGACTTTGGTCTGTCATGGGCCCCTTATCTGGGGTGAGGAGTAGATTGTGTATTGTGTCTCCCCAGGGAAAGTTTTGTCATACAACATAATTGACACCTGAATAGGAACAGGACAGAACAAAAGACGAGTTGGGGAGGAGTGAGTGCACAGTCCTAGCTATGGACAACAAGACATGCAATTGAGGCTGAGAAGCCTGAGGCGGGTGGGAAGCATCCATGGAGGACATTCCTATAGAACTGCCCTTTCCTGTTCAGTGTATGTTAGTGTGTCTTTGTGCTGTGACAGTGGTTGCATGGTCCTCACTATGGGTAACAAGACATGCAACTAAGGTTGAGCCATCAGGATTAGGAGTGTCTGTGGGAGAAATCCCAGGATGGCAGTCTTCGTCTATGTGGTAGGGGGTGGCATGCCTGCTTGATGGCATGCCACAATGTGAATATGGAGAGGCCCTGAAAACAGTTGATGGTTTAGAGGAAATTTTGTAATCTTTGAGAGTAGAGCACAAGAGTTAAGACTGTCAGCAAGCAACAGCAGAGGTTGTGTGGTTAGAAATGCATCTAAGGACAAGATAGTGGCCAACCAGAATCGTGTTAATATAAAGGAACAATTGTAACAAGAAAGGGAAATGAGACTGGCATCCTCCCAGTTAGCCTCTGATTTGGCAAGCGATAAGATCCTCAAGCCCAACCTTTAGTTTTAAGAAAATGAAAAAAAAAAATCTGTAATCCAACCTACAGATGGGGGTGGACATTAACAATGAAAAACTAGTGTCATCAGAAAATTCTCAAGACTTAAACTTGTGGAATAGGGGAAACTGAAAAAAAAAAAAAAAAACAATGAAAAAGCCTGTCTCAGCCTGGCTTATGAGGCCATGGGACATGGGGGGGGGTGGGATTGGATGGGATCTGACTGCTGTGGAGGCAGAAACACCATATAACATAACTTCCCATCCCTCCTTAAGACAAAGGCTACATAACCTGAGACTGTAAGAAGGAAATCAGTCCCTGACAGACAGGCTTATCAAAGCCATAAGAACAACTGCTTAGCAGTCCCATAAATCAAGAACTGGAGGATCACCGAGGAGGGGCAAATATTACTGGGGGAACTAGGAATAAGAGAAGCTGTGTTGGTACCCCAGTTCACTGGGCCAGCCAGAACTGTGCTCACAGAGGGGTTAAGGGAAAGATTGATCCAGCATGGACCTCGAGGCTAGTATGGTGCTTTAGTGGTTTTGCTGAGCTCTTTGGTGGGAAAGATCTTTATGAGGTAGACGAAAGGCAGACCTCAGGAGCTTAGACCAGCATATAGAGTCTGTAAGGTGAGAGAACAAACTAAAGGAGAATGAATAATTGAATAGATAAAGGAAGGAAGGAAGGAAGGAAGGAAGACAAGAGAGAGAGAGAGAGAGAGAGAGAGAGAGCGAGAGCGAGAGAGCGCAGCGAGAGAGAGAGAGAGAGAGAGAGAGAAGACTGTCTGGGTTACTCAAACACTAATGGGACAAAATTATTCTGGGAGGCTTTGGAACCCAAAGAGCAGTTCACAGACGATATTTGTGAGAAAAACGATACAGGTCAAGATGATCAAGCCTGCCCCAAGGTGGGTAATTATCCTCCCAGAGCAAGGAGAGTACATTTCCCTTCAGCAAAAAGGTTATGCTAAGGGTGGAAATGGTTTGCCCAGCCAGGCTGCGATGAATGGAGAGGCAACAGCTACAGCTACATCCACAGTGCCAACCAGGGCCACTCTGACCCAGGGAGCCAGCAGGTGCAGCAGAGGCAAACAGGACTACTCTCACCTTTGACCCTACCTGTTCTTAGAAGACTAAGTCAGGCCCACTTAGTTCATCAGGTGCAGAGAAACATGGGGAGGCTCCATGAAAGAACTCCAGGGTGTGAAAACATAATGACTCAGAGAGAATTACTGAGGGTTACAGGGAACTAATTGGGTTAGAGCCTCCTATCCATGCTTTGCACCCTACCTTGATCTGTGGATGAAGCAATTGATTCAAACAGATGGAACCTGTCCATGCTGTATTAACCCTTGCTTATATTCAATTTTAGTGTCTTCTTAGCTGTGAACCTCTGGGATCACCTGACACTTTCGGAGAACAGATGACAACAGACTTTCTGTGTGCTTCAACAGGGTATCTTTGTAACCTCGGTATTTGTTATGGGATAGTGGCTCAGGATGTCGCCTTGCCCACTCATCCTCTGGGAAGAGTTTTGCTATATAGATAACATAATGTTAATCCCTGAGTGTTTTACATATTTGAAAAGCCATTAGAGAAATGTACACGAGCATCTAAAGGAACAAGGATGAGAGCTCAGTCTACACAAGGTGCAAGGGCCTGACACAGCTATAAAATTCTTCTGGTATTATGGTCTGGTAAGATGCATATTATACCTGGAAACATTATTGACAAAATCCTACAACATCTAGTACCTGTCTATGTACAGAAGCTACAAGCATCCTGTGGACCCTTGGGTCATTGGTAGGTTTTCTTTTTTTCTTTTCTTTCTTTCCTCCCTTCCTTCCTTTCTTTTTGTTTTGAGACAAGGTTTCTCTGTTTATCCCTAGTTTTTCCAGAACTTCTTATGTAGCCCAGGATAGCTTCAAAGAGATCCACCTGCCTCTGCCTCTCGAGTGCTGGGATTAAAGTCATGTGCCACCATGCCTGGTGATTTTGGCAGATTTTCATGCCCCATCTTGCCTAAGCTGTCTGTCTGCCTTCTGTATAACTTGATAAAGAGTGTTATATGTGTTTGGGACAGAGGCTCAAGGGGCTTTTGAGCATGCTAAGATCCATGTAGGACAGGCTAAACAGGTGTGTGCCCCACTACTCCAGTGTTCCTTCCTGTTAGAAATCGCCAAGAGTTCAAAAGGCTATAGCTGATGGCTATGGCAAAAACAACCTGAACAAATGGTTCCATAGAGTTTTGGTGTCAGTCATAAAAAGAAACAAAAGCTATGTACACAACATTTAAACAGCAACTGCAAGAGGTAGATAAAACATTATAACAGGTGACATCCATAATAGAGGTATATAAAACATTACAACAGGTGGCATCCTTAACTGATTCCACTCCAGTGACTGTAAAAATAGTGTCCCCAATAAAAGGCTGGATTGAAGGCCTCCTGGACAAGCTACTTTCTGGTGTGGCACAAAATCTAACTCCACAAAGGTGACATACATACTTACAACAGTGAAATGTAGAGTCTACAAACCAATGCTATAGGACCAGTATCTTTTAAAGCCACTGAGCATCAGCCAGTAATTAAACCAACATCTAAAGCATTTAAATTAAAAAATACCTTAAATGAGGGAAGAAAGTAAGAGAGAGAGAGGAGAGAGAGAGAAGAGAGAGATGGGGAGAGGGAGGGAAGGAGGGTGAGCAAGCAGGCAGGCAGACAGACTCCCAGATGCTACAATGTTATTGAATAAAAACCTCAGTGCCAAAGGTGGGCTCCATCCCTGTGAGTTGCTGGCCAGGAAAGCACCTGAAGACCCTCAAATAAAAATATTGTGACTGCTGTTGTTGTAAGCCAGAAATGGACAGTAGGACCCCACTGCTGAAAACACTTGTGTCCATCCTTGATTAGGACAAGGAGAAATTAAGCTGGGACTAAACTGAAAACCTTCACCCTGCTGGCTGGCTTTCATACTGCCAAAGGGGGCATTATAGACTGCTGGTGGAAAAACTGTCACAACATTCCTGCTTGGCTATGTATGGATCCTGCATGATGAAAGGCCAACATGCTAGGCAGGGTGTGCCTGCTTGTGCAATTGCAGCTCAGCTATCTTGGGTAAGACCAACAGCCTTCCAGTTGGATTTCAGGCCCACAAAAGGGAGTTCACATCTGGTACTACAAACCAGTTTGGCTGAGGAGGTCATGGGTCCCAGTGGGAAAACAGTGTCTATGGTTTTTCTAGATGGATGTGTTGTGTCTGTCCAACTGTCTTCTAAACATGTGTATTTTCTACTCATAGATCACTGTAGTCATCAGCCACAACTCATAACCACTGGTGAAGTCCCTGAGACAAGTAACTGTTACTATGGTGTGGTGGCCTGATTCTTAGCCATGGGTGGACATCTCAAAGACCATTGCAAAAGAGGGGGCAAAAAAATGGAAGAGCCCAAAGAAGTGTAGTGTTGTGCAACAGTTTCTTCCAAGATTAAAACATTCCATCCTACAGGGAAGCTCCTTAAACAGAAAGATAAGCAACTCAAAACAGCTTCAGGAAGTTCCTGAAACTGACAAAATTCACTAGCCCCCCATCTCTCTTTCTCTCTCTCTTCAGAGTAAACAACAAAAGCTGAAAGTCCCTCTCAGAGTAGCAAAGCTGAGTTACAAAGGACTCTGAGACAGACCAGCTTGCTGGAAGAGCTGAGACCAACTCTAAGAGTTGGCATCGAGAAGGACACACTCTTCAACCTATTGGGCTGCTTGCAGGCTGTGCAGTGTGCTCAAGGCTCCCAGCTTTGTGAGCTGTCATCCATTCCTGGGTGGGTCTTTGAGTCATTTCTGCTCCTGTAAGTAACCCCTCATTCATATTCCTGTAAGTCACCCCAATAATATTCATGGTTCATCAAGTTGGACTTTGGTGGTACCCATGGTTTGGTCTGTCATGGGCTCCCCTATCTGGGGTGAACAGACGTGTGTTGCATCTCCCCAGAAAAAGTTTTGTCACACAACACCACCACAGTATGTTTGTGGCAATCCTTTGAGTGTCCATGCTTTGCTGTTTCCTGGAGAAATCACTTGGCATTTTCTCTTGCTGCTGTATCTGGGACTGCAAAGGCATCCCTGGAGTTGAAGACTCTGGAAGTATCTACAGGATAGATAACTTGAGGTCTGTTTGCTTCAGGTGTCAGTGGCATAAGCACACTTTGTGGCTCTTCTCTCAATGATCCCAAACTCCATTCGCCTTCTGAAGAACTCAAACTCATTTTGAAGTTCCAAACTTCACAAGCACTAGTACTCAGCACTCGTGGTACTACTGCTGCAGTTGTTGGCAGCTGCAATAGTAGCAGTAACCTTGTTGCTACAATGGTAACATCTAGGAAACGTGTACACATATGGCAGGCACTATATTAAGTGAGTACATATGGCAGGCACTATATTAAGGGTGTACACATGGCAGACACTATATTAAGCTTTCTACCAGCACTATCTTCCTTAATTCTTAAAAGCACCTCTCTAGAGCTGGAAGCAGTCTAGCTTTCTGTTCAGAGGTAGAAAACTGTAATCCGGGGATTACTTTAATTTACCCACTTGATTCCAGAGTCTGTGGTCTTCACCACTATGGCATGTGCAGGCAATAAATGAAGCAGCAAGCCAACATAGTCATGTACATAAAAAGAATTAGCAGTGAAACCGGGCTCTGCAAGCTTCACACAATTCAAAGCTAAAATCAATTCATCAGTCATCCAGGCTTAGCTTACCTACACAACCTCCTGTGGATGAGGCTAGGTAATCAATAAAGACAAGTACCCGCCTCCCAGGAGCGGGGGAGTCCTCCCAGCTCACCAGAGTTCCTCCAGTGACTTGTTCTTCTCCAGCATCATTGCGAGGGCCTGGGCACCCTCACTACCAATGTTGTTCCCCACCAGGCTGGACATAATCATGGAATAAAAATGAATCAGAATAGAAAGGAACCTCAGAGACAAACTGACCTACGAAGGATGAATGACACATTCTAGTAGTGTCCTGATATTAGACGTACTAACTGATTACAGGGCCCCTTAAGGCCAGGAGCAGCTTCCAAACCCTCTCCAACTGGGCAGCCATTTTCAGTAGGCTAGAACAGGTCCCTAAGATAAAATATGATAAAATATCAACTCACAGCCTTCAATTTGCTAACAGGGAATCATGACCCTAAAAGGAGGAGAATCACCCCCAAATTCTCAAGTTTCCTGACCCCAAACCAATGGTCTTTCTTCCTTACTCTACTGTCTACTACAAGGGAGTACATGCAAAGTTCAGGGACCTTCAAAACTGCCCCAACCACCTAGCTCCCCCTATGACAAAGACAGAACACACCTTGAAGCTTACCTGAGCCATTTGATGCTCTGGTGACCAGCCAAAGCTTCAGCCAGGGCTTGGGTGCCCTTATCACCCACACTGTTGCCCCAGAACCTGAGAAGTCAATAGGGTACACTTCAGACATGTGTCGATGTGCTTCTGTGGTGCCACTCTACCCCAGGGAGGTCTCAGCAGTCCCAGCAGAGTGGAAATACCACAACCTTTTTGGTAAGATGACCAAACGCCACTCAGACTTTTCAGTGCCATTACAAACTTAACAAAAGCTCATGACCCCACCCCTTGATGATGAAGAACTCACCCTCAGTACCTAAGGCTCATGGCCCCACCCCTTGGTGATAAGGAACTCACCCTCAGTATTTAAGTCTTATGGACCCACCTCTCAGTAATGGGGAACTCACCCTTGGTAGTAGGTCACATGGTTGAAAATTTTTTTCCCTTCCTGACATTTAGTTCAGATTTGCTTCCTGGTACTTTCACCCACAAGTCTGTAACTATTCTCAGAGATTACCCAAAACAAGGCTAACACTTCCCGGACAAGCCAGCTTTTCATCTCTTGCTTCTTCTTAATCCCCTCTACTTCTATGCTGTCTAGCTCCTTTTCCTTCTGAGCCATCCTCCCCAGACCCACTGTAGATTGGACACAGTTCCCACATTCTGACTCAGTAGCATACATTCAGGAACTTGCCCTGGAATGTGTATAAGTACAGATAAACAAAGACAGCTGCACTGGGCTGGCACAAAACTTTCATTCACTATGTGAAATAGCTAATTTTGATTGCCAATTTCGTTAGGCTGAGAAATATTTAAGTGATAAAGCCCACCTTTGCGGATGTCAGTGAGAGTGCTTCCAGCAACAATCAGATGGCGTGAGGGGTATGACCTAACCAGCAAATAAATCCCTTGAAAGAGTCATATTATGGCAGCATTAATGGGAGTTGGTACAATAGGAGTATGGCCCAGGGAATATGTAGGTCACCTGGGGTATATCCTTGGGGCCATGTACTGTCCTGGTCTCTTTCTACATCCTGCCTCCACTTGTTGATCAGCCATGAAGTGAACAGCTGTTCTCTCCCACAAGTTCCTGCCACCACCATGCTCTGCCCATGCTTAAGGGGCTAAACAATTGCGGACTAACCCCTCTGAAACCATACATCAAAAATAAACATATCTTCTCTGAAGTTGTCTGTATCAGATATTTTAGTAACAAAAGATAACCAATATATTAGATTAAGTATGGACTGAGGTGTTGAGAACACTGCTCTGAGCATAGGACAATGTGAAAGAGAATCAAACAAACAAACCTGGAAACATCCAAAATGCACTTCAACAGGTGAATGTCAACTAAATGAACTAAAACCATCCAACCTGCCACTCTTCTTAAAATGGCCAGGTGAGACCTCCTGACACATGGAGAAAGGAACTCCATGGAGCTAGGGCCTCATTTTTTGTATACTCTGTTGCTGCTAACATGGCTGGAAAGGGTACTGACTTCAAAAGAGCAGTCTCCTTCCTGGCTCACACCAAGTTTATGGGCACTAGCCTGCCAGAGCAAAGGGTCGAAACATCGGGGCCCAACAGTTACTCTCTCTTCCTACATCTTGTATTCCACAATCTCCAATTCTTGACGACTGACACCTCCCTTAGAATCATGAATTTAGACATGCCCATTCTGTCTTGAGAAGCACAAAGTACTTCCTTCCGAGGGCAACCCAGTCCTGAAGACCAGAAAGCTCAGGTCCTCAGTTCAAGACACAGCCCTCTCCCTACCACTGTACCATGAATTTCCTACTTACCAGGTGAGGAGGTGAAGGCAGAGGCAGCTCAGAAGCAGCCTAGTACCACCCACACTCACCCCAGCCCACCCTTCCATCTGGAGCCGAGGCTGCCTGTGGGCTCTTTAGGTGAAATGCTCCCCTACATTGAAATCTCTGAAAACCACAAACTTCCTCCTGTGGGCCCTCCACCTCTGAACCCAACCTACCCCAGGAACTGCAAGGAGGTGTTGCTCTTGAGCCCCTGGGCCAGCACCTGGGCTCCAGCAGCTGTAATGTGATTGTTCCCCACCCTGCAAGGAAGACACAGAAGTTCAAAGCAAGTGCAGCACGCTGGTCCCTGGCTTCTCCTGGGGCGTAGCAGTGTCATGCTGTTCTGCAGAGCTCGCTGACATCGTGGCTCCCACCACAGCTGCTGCCCACTTGGACTTGGTTTTTCCAAGTCCTGGGCAGGAGTCACAGGAGAAAGTTGTCCTAGGAATTGGTTTCCCTAGGACACTGTCATCTTTCCTTCTTGCTTTCAGCCATCCTCAGTCTACAGCCCAGGATGCCCCTCCCCCACTCCCATGACTTCAAACCCACTGTCACCATGGAGTGCTATTGGCCTATTCTGAAGGGACTGGGAAGAGGAGGAATCTGAGGGTTCTCTGACAACACCAAGGATACTGCAGGAGGGAAGAGGGCAGAACCAAAGCAGTGCAGCAATTAGCAAAGACAAGACCACAGAAAGGCTCTAGCTGTGCCCCGCCCCGCCCCCACCGCAACAGTTCAGAGCTGCTACCCAAGACAAGCTTTCTGGAATAAATACAATACAATTTCATCTTCTCAAGGCGCTTTAAGCCACTCTGGCTCACTACAATCTTACAGGGTAAGTATGACCATCTCATTCCAGAAAGCATGTGGTACCAAGAAAATAACCCAAGACCTCTGCTGGGCAAATTAGGTTTGACAGCAACCCAGTGGCTTCATGAACTCTCCCAGAGCTGCACCGAAGTCCAAAATACTTCCTCCCATCCATATCCTGCAAGCAGGGTCATTCCCCGGCCTTCACAGCTCCCTCCCCATCTCCCCACCCATGGGCATTTTCTGCTCATATAATCCCTTCTCTGAGGACTGAACTAACATAAGGATGCGCAAGCTGGATGCTTACATAATTTACCCACGATCCTTCAGTCTCTGAGCTTACTATATAAAGCATGTACTGTACCAGCTCTTTCTGTGTGCTAACTCCATCGTGACAGCCTTTCAGATGGCTGTAACTATGATCCCCATTTTAAGGAAAGAGATGACGCGCCCCCCCCCCCCCCAGGGGC